TTTAACTAAAACGACTGGAGATGCCCAGGAACTCGAAGAAGGTCGTATTATATTTCGCGATAGCATCTCGTTCACTTCTTTTTCAATTATTTCTCTCTCTGATTGCGAAACCCGATATGGGCGACGGCGTATCACACGAGAACCGTCGGTTTCAATGCGATGTACAGCCGCGGAAGTCTGACTCAGTGTTGTGGTACAGCTATCAAAGCAGGCTTTGTGCTTAGCCAAAAGGGCCAATAGTGCTTCAGACTGTTTTGGTGTGAGGTCTGAACCAATGACAGGTCGAAAAGGGAAAGAACGTGAACCTGGAGCTGGTACTGGTGACGAAGACGGGCAGAGTGTCGCGATGGAGGTCAATGGAGAGAAGTCAATCTTTGCCACTGTCATTCCCTTGGGCAGCAGCACAGATTCTGCAGTTGTGTTAGAAACGGGCAGAAAAGCGCAGCCAGAGGAAAACCGGAGGAGGCAAGAGGCGACGAGAATTCCACGGGAGGTGCAGCGAAACGAAGGAGCCACAAGTGCATCACCGTCGGTTACTTGGGTAGATGCGACAGCTATCACGTGTTCGTGACCAGGGTGCAGGACGCAGTCTTCAACAATGACCAAGTTGGAGATCGAGGGTGATGAAACTGGAATGGGCGCATCCGTTGTATCCGTTATGTGAATGACGTTCTCTTTAAAGGATATAACAGCGGAAGCAGAATGCAGAAAGTCCCAACCAAGGATAAGTTCATGAATACACGTGGGCAACACAATCATCTCGATGTGGTGACGTATACCATCAATAGAAACACGAGCCGTACACTGTCCGTCAGGTTGAATCAGCACGTTATTTGCCCCACGCAACACAGGTCCCACATAGGGCGTTCTGACTTTACGGAGGCGCGAGCACAAGTCACTACGCAAAACAGAAGTGGTTTTTTTCTTGAACTCCATCGTCTTGCGCCACGGAGCCCCTCGCGTCCTTTTGAGTGACCGTGGCAAAGCCTTCCTTTCCAAGGTCCTGGATGAAGTCCTGCAGGCGTGCAATACAGTGCATAAAACCACTTCTACATACCATCCGCAAACGAATGGCCTTACCGAGCGCTTCCACCGAACACTCTCTGACATGATATCGATGTACTTGCATCCTGACCACAAAAATTGGGATAACATTTTACCGTTTGTCACCTTCGCATACAATACTGCGGTACAACGATCAACTGGCTACAGCCCGTTTTTTCTCGTGTACGGCCGATCTGCCTCCTCGGTCTTCGACACGGCATTTTTCTTTGCACCGGCTCCAAGCAGTACCTCGCTCCCAGAAGAGTTCGCAGCCCGAGTCACACAATGCCGTGAAATTGCTCGCAAAAACACGGAAGCAACCCAAAAGGAGAGAAAACATCGCTGTGATAAAAAACGACGCGACGTGGCCTTTAATGCTGGCGATAAGGTTTTACTATGGACCCCGGTTCGAGCGTCGGGCCTTTGCGAGAAATTTCTTCACCGGTATGTTGGCCCATACACCGTTGTACGACAGACATCTCCAGTTAACTACCTCGTCACCCCGCTTCAGTCTGTCACTGACCGCCGTCTGCGCAGCACGGAAATAGTTCACGTCTCACGCATGAAGCCTTTTGTTACTCGTTCGGCCGATCTCTGACTGGCGGCCAGGTTGGCCGCTTCGCAGAGGGGGGGGGGGGGAAATTGTAAGCACATTCCAAGCATTTGATCGTTCTCACTTGCACATACCCATCATCATCGTTCTCACTTGCACATACCCATCATCATCGTTCTCTCTCTTGGGGTGGTTCTGAGCCGAGCCAGACATCGCAGAATAAACGCTTCTGCTCGCCCTGCCTGCTCGCCGTACCTAGTCTGCCTGCGTCTTTCAATATATATATATATATATATATATATATATATATATATATATATATATATATATATATATATATATATATATATATATATATATATATATACGTGTGTGTGTGTGTGTGTGTTTGTGTTTGTGTGTCGCACATTTTCAGCTGTGGACACGTTTGCCCGGAGGTTTACACCACTGATGTATGCCAACACTGCAAGAAGGCGCGAGCCACACCAGAGACTGTGCACCACCGCCGGGTAACCAAGAAGTAATGCCAACTGCCATAAGCAGCAAAATTATCAGCCGAGAGCCAGGCAATCAAAGAGACGTGGTCCAGCACGTGCTTAGCATCCTGGAACGCCAGTGGCCGAAAGCGGCGCCCCCACGGGTTTGACGCGAGTAGGTTGCGGCTCCGGGACGTCCGAGCACGCTAGTGTCTCGCTTTAATCCCCCTACCCCTTCCCCCTTTATGCCGGATCGTCAATAAAGTTGTTTCACTCACTCAGCTGTGGACACACAGGATCCTTCAAACTGATATTCAATCATTGTCAGTTTAATACACCCCAAGATAATTGTCCACCTCACAAAAATTGTCATCACTTATGACGCAGTGGGTGCCATGATGCAAATGCAGCTGTAGTAGGCGCCCCTAGAGAGTTTACAAAAGGCTCTATAAGGCCGGTCTTCCCGCTTCAGCAGTGGTTATGCTGCGTGTCCAGCGCAGACCTGGCATGCTTTTTTTTACGCAGTAAAGCTATTCCTTTACGCAGTACCGCGCTTTTACGTAGTGCAAGTCACAACATTAAAGTACAGTGATATTGAAGCTATCATTTTTTTGTGGGGGAGGGGGCGGCGGAGGGGGGATTGCGGTGACTTTTCGTGGTCGTTTCAATGTGTATAGTAATGACGTGTGTTACCTAAACCAGTTAACACGTGAAGAATTATTGGTGAATTAACGAACTATATTAGATAAATAACTATGCTTTACAATATGCAGCTATTTACTTTACCTAGCTGGCTCTGCTTAGATGAAAATTTTTTGCCTTTAGACAGCATTCATGAAGCAAGCAAGAGCTTGTTTCACTTCCTTGTGGCGGCACAAAACCTGCTTTCGCGGCTGTTGCACATTCATAGGGCACTGCTACTGAGCAAGGACAATACGTGGGCTTATAAACGTCGTCGCAGCACCAGGCTATAATTTTCCTGTCGGGTATAAATATTAAGAAATGGAATTTTGAAAGCGTGCCAGACCTGTTCGGTTTGTGCATCTAAATGTCGATGAGCCAACAGACGAAACTGCAAGGCTAGAGCTGTAAGTTAGCAACAGATTTTTTTTTTAATATATTGGCACAGTTTCCACTCCGTCGGGCAATGCTGGGTCACAGCAGATATGCTGATATAGTCAATTGAATATCCTAATGCTGGGCAAGTAATCGGCTGGGCTGTCAAGCTACCGCCCATAGGCGTGCTTATGGGCGGCGGGACGGCAAGGGGGGTGTGGTTACTTCGGTGGTCGATTGCAGCCCCATACATTGACATAAGAAACAGGGCCACTGCGACTCGGATTGGGGGGGGGGGGGGGTCAAATTTATCCCTATACATGGACATATTACCACAAAGGGGGGCGCATTGCGATGAACCTTCGCCCCCCCGCCCTTAATGTGCACACCTATGCTCAGGCTTGTCTCTTTTTCCCTCTTGTTTTTTCTATACAAAACGCGGTTATGCTTGCCCTCTCCATAGCGCGTATGTTTTACGAAAATTGAGCAATTGTCACATCTTACTGCATTGGTTCACTGAAAATTAAGGGAAAACACGAGTGGTAAACAGTGACTATATATATACGGGCCCCACGTTTAAGCTTCTCTTATTAACCATCTATATCGCGTGCTCTGGCCGTGAATGAGTGCAGGGCGTTTTATGAAGATAATAATTTTATAGGCGAACCTGCACCATAATAGTTGGGCTGTAGAAGTTCATAAATTTCCCGCCCCGCCCGTAGCGCGCCTTGTCATTTAAGCGTGATAGACCATACTCGTCGAATCGTCGTCAACCTCAGCGCAAGTTTTGTTATCGACACTTCATGTTTGTCTCAACATAGTGTCCAGAACGTTTTTTTTTTTTTAAGAACGCCAATTGATTGGCAAAAACATGAACTCGAAGCAGGTGTCCTATAATCCATGATTAACCGTATATCGCGCTCACGCACACAAACTGAACATACTCATTTCTCGGCAAATATACTAGTTCTCCTCACGTTCTTTTATTTTCTCTGTCTCTCATTTTTTTTTTTTTAGAGGCGAAGCTCCTCATGGCTTGGCTTGTGCGTCCCTCGTTGTTGTGCGTAACCACCGGTCGCACATACCCAAAAGAGCGGTCCTTAGAATGCCCGCTGGACGGCGGTATTTGTACATGATGAATACATGATGAAAAGATGTGAGATGGCGGTACTTGGAGTGTTCACTAGATAGACGGATGGACAGACAGACAAACGAACGGTCGGGCGGAAGAACGGACGGACACACCGATGATCTCACGGATGGATGGGCGCACGGACGGACGCAAGCAAGAACGAATGGACGGGCGGAAGCACGGACGGCCTGACGAACGCTTCGCCCCACCAATCATCATTCACTCCGTGGATATGCTGCAATTTTTTTTTTACCAAAGTAGGGGCTGATATTCCTGCAACTTCTAAAACAGCCGCACCACATAAGAACCGATTTATGCCGAAAGCCTAACTGACGCCATCATCCGCCCCGGCAAGCTCGAGCTGGCGTAATTGCTATATAGCTCGGCTAACAAGGAATGTTCGCTGAACGCCCCCGATAGGAACATGTAATACTCACCTCACGAAGCATGTGTTCCGCCTTGACTTCATCGAACTCCCGCGCTGCAAAGAGAACCCAATTCATGATGAAGTCACTTTTCCCTCGATACACTCTATAGTGACAGCAGTTCTACGTTTGTAGGGTTACATCTACGCGTCTGAAGGTTATACGTCTTCACAGTCGTGTACTTGTGTGACAACTCCTCGCTAAGATTTGACGTCTGCTTAGGTGTGGCAGCTTGGGCTAGTTGGTATGACATGACGATAGTTGTAGCGCGAGAACAGAACGACGACAAAGAGATAAGAAGGACACAAGGTCATTCTTGTCTCTTTGTCGTCGTTTTTTTCTCGTGCTACACCTATCGTCATGTCTGCTTAAGCATTGCTTTAGCTTCATTCTGTAAATTCTTTTCATTAAAAAGGGGATGCACTTTTCGGGGCGTGGGCTATGAACATCTAACACTTCACTTTCATTTTCTAATTATTTAATTTCTATTCATCTACTTTTCGATCGAGTGACCTTGGTGCACTCCTCCGGAAGAAATCACTAGCCCGCCTTTTTTTTTTTATTCATTTGGTGTTCACATAAGCTTATATACAATTGTTCTATATCTTTGATAGCAGGGAGGCAACGCTTCCCTGCTTTGTGTTTTAAGGCCTTTTGACCTTAAGACACTAAGGCCAAAAGAACATTTAAATGTAAGTAATCCTTTATGATTCAAGAACACCACGAAGGCTCCATCGCTGAGTCGTATTGAATTCACCAGCTGAAATAGGCATCTTGGAGGCAATTATGTCCTGAATAGTATCATGATCATCAGCAGCAGCGGCGGCAGCAGCAGCAGCAGCGGCAGCAACCAGACTTCGTCCACTGCAGGACAAAGGCCTCTCCCATGTTCCGCCAGTTAAACCGGTCCTGTGCTAGCTGCTGCCTTAATTGACGTATGCATGTGGGAGTATAGGTGTAATTTTATCCAGAAAATAAGTATGCACTTGGGCATAAATATGCTAACTATATCCATAAATATGCCAGAACTTCGAAGAAAGTGTTTTTCTAAGTACGCTTGTCGTCCAGTGCAACAGGTTCACTGGCGTCCCCTTTACTCGCAACTGGGAACGGTATAGGCCACTTTCTTTTATTATCTGCCGTGGTAGATAATGAGGAGGAGGAAGGGAAGAAATGAAAGGCAGGGAGGTCAACCAGACGCACGTCCGGTTTGCTACCCTGCACTGGGGGAAGGGGTGAGGGGATTAAAGGAGAAGAGAGAGAGAAGTGAAGGGCAACTTGTGTGTCGATGTGACCTTGTCTATTGCACGCTTATAAGCGGTCGCGTAGTCCGGTCGTCTTTAGAAAACTTAGCAATGCCCGCGTCGCTTTGCTGGCCTGCGACGCGTACAGCCATGAACCAAGGATGCTCTCTTCGGAAAAAGGTCTACTGTGGTAGATAAAAAGGCTCGGATGCTGACACGAAGGTCGCTGGTTCGATCCCGGCCGTGGCGGTCGAATTTCGGTGGAGACGAAATGGCAGAGTCCCGTGTACTGCGCCATATCAGTGCCCGTTAAAGAACACCAGATGGGCCCAGTTTCCGGAGCCCTTCACTTCGGCGTCCCTCCTAATCATATCGTTGTTTTGGGACGTTACACCCCAGATAATTATTATTACTTTCTTTTCTTAGTGTGAACGGGCCGGACGTGTTTTGGCCACGCTTCCTCTGGCTATTCTCGGCTGAAGATAAGACAACTTACGCGCGGGCATCGACTTCACCCGCTCCTCGAGGGCTTCGTCTTTCTTCGGCTATCGCGTTGAGACGTGGGCCCATTTCCGACGCAGATGTATTCACTGGCTTACCGCAGTCAACGTGTGTACGTACACAAATGTAGTTGACGTGTTTCTTTAAACATTAGTTATATTAGGAACTGCTTTGCTGGATCTTTCATTCTTTTATTTATTCGAGTTCTAAACTGTGCGGTTAACTGATGTCCCCTTGAATTCATTTTGATGCACAGCACGAGACATATGGTTAGTTATTGCGGTTTAGTTTTTGCATTTCGAATCCCAGCATATAGGATGGAATGCTAAACACCTGGGAGCAAGGTGTCTTTTACAATCAGCTTTTGTTCTAATATCAGCGCGGGCGCATAGTGTACCGAAGTTTTCCATCACAAAGTTACTACATCATTTGTTTGTAAGAGGAAAGCCTTGTGTCACTCATCATGCAGATATCCTGAGCGTGACCTTGTAGACATGCGGTGAGCAACGGTGAAGCGAAATTCCGAGCGGCGTTCTGCTCGAGCGTAAAAAAAAATAAAAAGTACAGTGTAAAATTGCCGCAAAGTATGGATGGTACCTATACGAGCCGTTTTAAGCGAATGTATAAAGAACGATGTTTTTCGTTTTGTTTCTTTTTTCACATGCATGTGGCATGGCAAGCGGAGCATGGCAAGAACAGCCCAGCGCCACTTGAGAGTTTAGCGTCTCTCGCTTCATGTCGTTATTAGAGGTGTCTTTTTGTAGGAATGTATGACACACCACAAGGCCGCCAAGCCGCGTACTCTAAATGACTATAGACACTGCGGTTACTGACTCATTATTTCCGCCTAATACTCTGCATGCTTTACCCAAGACTTCATAACTCGAAAAATATTGTTTCCTGCAGGCGTTTGCCAGGCAGCTGTACCAACCAAATAGCCCGCTAACGCACTATGTGTGGTATGGACGAGCTGTGCATGTTAATTCTTTAGTTATAGACTGCCAGGCTACCACTTGCATGGTTATTGAACTAGCTGTGAGCGTCAACAATAAAAAAGAAAAAGCCTGTCGGCCTTGCTGATTCATCAACATCAACTAGCAGAGCGAGGAGGCGACCAAATTGTGTGCGTGCGTGCGTGTGTGTGTGTGTGTGTGTGTGTGTGTGTGTGTGTGTGTGTGTGTGTGTGTGTGTGTGTGTGTGTGTGTGTGTGTGTGTGTGTGTGTGTGTGTGTGTGTGTGTGTGTGTGTGTGTGTGTGTGTGTGTGTGTGTGTGTGTGCACTTGTGGCAGTCACTTTGGAGATTTGGAGAGAGGCGTGACGTTCGTTCCATTGGTGACGCGGTGCACTCACCTCGCAGCCACCTGAGTAGGAAGTGATCCGTGTGTTCCGGCTTGGTGACATCGGACACTCTTTTCCGGAACTGCAAGAGGGATACGAGAATTTTCAGCCCGTGCACTCCCAGTTATTGTGGTTAAAAGGTTACAGAAACACTTCACTCAATCATGTATTATCATTCTCTCGCCTAATGTCGCATAGTTTATGAGTGCTGTTTACTGAGGTCAGCGAGTACCTGCGAACAACTTCGACCTTGGCTTCCTTTGATACACCGCGAACGGTGCGGCCGTGCATCAAAGGAAGCCAAGGTCGAAGTGGTTCGCAGGTACTCGCTGACTATCTTTCAACCGCTAAACCATAACCAAGTACGCTCTCTCGAGAACACTCAGCAACGGCCGCGCGTCCAACTTTCAGCTGCGAAATGCCCAGCGGCCGATGCCTATCCTTCGCCTCGTCTGGGTGCGCCGTATTGGACGAGAATTCATTACGTTGATTGTGGGAGCAGCTCGAGTAATTCACCATGAGAATATTTTGACAGCACTAAAAGCTGACGGATTACTTTATAGTTAACGACAGTAGCTATTATTATAGTGCTTCACGTGCTGAAATCACAATATAACTGTGAACAGCAGGTTGATTTCGGCCATCTGTTTCTAACGCGATGGCGTTAAAGAGCTCGTTTCGCAGAAGTGATGGTGCTGGCGTCGGCGTCATTGGTTGTGAGCGAAAAATAATCATGTTGTGTCTGACCGAAAAATCGAGAAATATGCAAATAGAACAAATAATAAAAAATTCTGCGTCAGAGTGTGGATCGAACCCGTGTGGTCTGGGTGCAAGCGAGTGTTCTATATACGACACAGCCGCGTGTGTGCTTGGAAATGCCATGAACATAAGTTCCTCTGCTTGGAAACGCAGTGAAAGTAGCTTGCATACATTACAAACGCACGCGTCATGTATGCGTGCATAGACGACGAAGGTAAATGGCACGTCCAAATGCACGATAATCATGATATGCGTGTCATGTAAAACATGACTACATATGCGACGCTCCTAGCGTGCTCGCGGCCGTTTCACTATAGCTTCACATAACCAAATTCGGTATTACGTGACGTGAATGGACGATGTGTGTGTGTGTGTGTGTGTGTGTGTGTGTGTGTGTGTGTGTGTGTGTGTGTGTGTGTGTGTGTGTGTGTGTGTGTGTGTGTGTGTGTGTGTGTGTGTGTGTGTGTGTGTTTATATAGTGAACTTTCATACGCCTTGACAACTCTGTCACTGCTCTGCTATAGTATACTCGTCTCTCCTGAGAAGCATTACACAGCAGGAATTGCTTCATTTTTGTATTTCACCTGCAGATATGATATCTGTTTGTCAAAGTGAGCGATATAAAGCGCTTGACGAACTTTAAACAAAAAGAAAAAAATGCCCGTAACACGCAACACTGCTTAAACATCAGCAACGGCGCATTAACAAACTAGTAAATAAATGAAAATGTTAAGCGGTTGTTAAAAATAACCAACGCTTCCTTTTCGTCCGCGAATGTTGAATACAAACGGAGTGCTAAAAAAAAAAAACTTGACTACCAGAACTGCTGATTTGTAGCGTGTCTGTTCATGCTTTCGGTTAAGCAGCCCGTCTAACTGTCGAATTAATTTTTCTTGAGTGACGTTTCCGAGACTGAATTGTTGAGCGGGCGCTCAGAAATAAGTGCTTAATACCGCTTTTCTGGGGAAGAAAGGCTGTCGCGATACACGCAGAATGCGCCAGGATTGCCTACGAGTTGTCACTCTTCCAAGTTGTCGAAATCTTCCTCTCTGTCTTCCCCCCTGTTAAACCATCAAGGTTTCACTCGCTCGCTCGCTCACTAACACACTCACTCACTTTCCGCCGCGCTTTAAATAAACTGCAGATCGTAGTCACCTCGGCTGCTCTTCTTGGGTACGTGATTATTGACCTTGGCGGCGTAAAGACACATTATGACTCACCAGTGGTTTCTTGCAGTCCAGTGTTCGTGACGCACACACGCTAGCGTTAAGCTCCCCAAACGCGCCAGTCTAACGCCTCTCAAACCGCAAAGCTAGACAATGGAAAGGTGTCGGAGCCTTCGTTTTTCCTCGTGGCCGTAACACGCTCTAAGCACACGTACGCAGGATGTGCCTGCTTGAGTATGATGAAGCGGTTTCCCTTTGTTTTTTGTTCCTCGGTGAATGCGGGAATTACGCGCAGGCCGAGCACTTAGTAGCTCGAAACACAGTTTTACGGGGGCAGAGATGCGTGTGACGCCGACTGTACACACCTGCCACTTCATAACACCACGTGACGGAATGTCTCTTTCGCTGAGCCGCCCCCCCCCCCCCCCCTACCCGCTGGTGCTGACGTTTTCCGTCCGTTTTGCGAAATAGTCAAACGTATAGTATAGTCCCGTATAGTCAAACGTATAGTATAGCCCCGTATAGTCAAACGATAAATGCGAAGCTCTTGCATTACTGTAAACATTGAAGCCAGCGAAGCTGTAACTGCGGCGGGCTAAGTGCAGCCATATGTCGGCAAAATCACTCATGACACGAGTCAGACTCGCTTTGATCGAGCCGTGAGTCTGGTTGAGTCCAGGTGAGAAATGTCCTGGTGAGTTTGAGTACGAGTAAGTCCGGTTAGGTAAAATTTTAGTGAGTCTGAGTACGAATGAGCCTGGTATGGCATAGATGATATAGTAAACATCATTCCAATACTCCATTCAGATCTTGAAGATCAGATGGAAAAAAACTTTGGTGACGCTGATCCAGAGTGAGCTCAGGATGTATTTCTTGTGTGAGTCCCAGTGAACTTTACACATTTCTGTCGATCTATGGGTACAGTCAATGTTTTCATGGCGGGTTCATGTATAGGCAGAGTATAGCGGTCTATATGTAGAACATTACCATAAATCGACCCATCCGTGTGTGCTCAATAATTTTTTCCTCTTTTTCTCTGTATAATCAGGACGTCTTGAATAATCGATTATGCGAGGGTATGCAGAACAATGGCGATGCGAAGCGACAACCTCGTGGGTGGGCATCACGTCTTTCACGACATATCGACCTCAATCTAGGATTAGCATGTTTTCCTACGTGATTTCCGGTGCGTTAAACGACGCCTAAAGAGGTCCTCGACCAGAGAGAAAATGAGAAGTCAAACACGCGGCGCTGACTATTCGCCAACTCACCCTCGCTCTCAGCGTTTATTTCTGATAGTTAGCGAAGCCGTATACTTATTCAGACGTAAACCCGACTGTCCAGTTCCACATCGCAAACATCCGAGCACTGACTGGCTGTAAATTTGAGTTTCTTAATGGGTAGACGTCACCTGCTAGCGCGATTCAGACGGTGTCTTCAGATAGCGCTTTCAGGTTCGTAGCCTAGATTTCCTTTTCGGATGTAGAAGTCCCATTATACTGTCGCATGAGCGTATATTAGATGCGGAAGCATCTTATACTCGCGCCTTGTAGTGCGCCGTCCGCGCCGTCCGCGCCGTCCGCAACGCTTCTCGAACATTCGACAGCTGACGCGCGCGCATGCGCCGTCGCGCCGTCGCCCACCATCTGTGCCGCGCGCGCTTCTCCTTCGAGAACATTCGACAGCTGACAGCGCATGCGCCGTCGCGCCGTCGCCATCTGTGCCGCGCGCGCGCTTCTCCTTCGAGAACATTCAACAGCTGACAGTGCATGCGCCGTCGCGCTGTATATATACTCAAGGTCGGCGCTCGCTCGCTCAGTTGCCGCTCGTTGGTTGGTTTGTACGCCGCGTCGACGTCCAAGGTCGCGGTGAAATGAATTCCAACGAATCCACAAACACAACGATCGACGTCCCTTCGACCAGCGCCGTCCTTTCGCATACGTGTGTACGTGTTCACTCATTTAACACCCCCTCCTACAACCACGTTAACCAATTTAGCCATCGACCCAAGTAAGTCGCAATTTAACACCCCATTTCACAACCACGTTAACTAATTTAGCCATCGACCCAAGTAAGTCGCACTTTAACACCCCGTTAACCAATTATATGCTCCGCATCCTCCTCAGTGTTCCCCCGAGGGAAGCTGCGGGCAATTTTTTCAATGGTGACCGATTTGATAGCTTGATGCCATGTCGTTCTGTCATGTCGGCGAAATATGCACTTCCATATTTACCCTTACGTTATGTAGTTGTTCTGTTTTTGTTTTTATGCAAACTCACTGGATTAGTCACGCCGCATTTGGGCGCGTTTTTCTTCGCGCGTCTCTATGTTTTTGCTGCACGTTGCAAAGTGGTCGGCGAGCTGTATTACGCTCTTATCTCTCCATCTCCCTCCATAAACACACACGACGTCTCTTTACTTGCTGCTTGCTCTATTATTCCTGCCTTGTGTATTTAATTTTGAGTGTGATACCGCAACTCTGGTAGACGAATAATCTCACTCGCATGGTATCTTACTTATGTTACATTGAGATAAGTAACGATTGGCTTGCTTGCGCGAGTGAAAGTAAACGCACAGATAATCTGTGTATGCATAACCGTGAAGAGTGCGCTCGCTCACGATTTTTGGCTGCTCTACAGAAAGATAGGATTAGGTTAATCCTGACTGCTATATAAAACCTCTCCTTCTTTTCGACGGAAAGCGAGAGCTGAGCGATTCACGCATGATTCTGCACCTCTGCGCTTGTAAAACGCGCACGCGAGAAGAACCGACAGTATACTATAGGAGCACTGTTATCGTGTGCTCTTTCCAACTTCGTGTTTCAGTAGCACTGTGTTTGTTTCAAGCTGGATTCCCAACAACGAGCTCGCCTTCAAAGCATCTTCGGTCATATTGATTTATATATTTGCCCACGTTTTTTTTGTGTGTGTGTGTGTGGGAAGGGGAGGGGGGCTTTTTAGTAATAATCATCCGAATCTACACTTGCTTAGCTTGCGGAGAATTCATCCGGGTCATTATCCGCTTTTCATCAATTCTCATTTTTCCACTGAGAACATTTGAGATTGTACTGCGTTTTTTTTTTTATCAACAGCGGAGCTGTTTGTGCTATCAAAACACCATTAGTCGCTAACAAACGTTATCATCAAAAAGAACCTGC